CAACGTGCGTTTTCTTTTTTTTTTTTTTTTTTCTTCTTTTCGCACCTAGTACAAGTAACTACGAAATAGTAATAAATACTTATCGTCTATTTAACGCTTCTTTAAATGCAATAAAGTATTTCATAAGTTTCAGAGGACAAGGTTGGTACGCTTGTGACTCCTGTTCTTCATTGAGAAGCTTGCGTTGACGTGTACCGACTTCTTTTTTCGTTCTCGAAGACTGGACCAATAGAGTTTCGTTACGCTAGAAATGTCATGACCATTACAATGAGATAGTAAATTAGTTTCACGTAGTTTGCAGTAGCGAGTAACAGATGATTTCATTTATTGGATGCGTGTATCTTCCAATAATTCAACAAATTGAAGTTGTCACGTGTGTTAGTTTGTGAACACATTTATTCTACAAGAATCTTCGTTTCCCTTAAAGTCTAATTCTTTCAGGTAAAAGATTATCTGCGTTAGGTGATTTTTTTGACAGCTCTTTGGAAAGTTATTTGAAGAGAAGACGAACAAAACATGTTTCAAGTAAAAGATTTCAGAGAGTCGTTTTAACAGAGTAATTATAACACTCTCCGAGCATTATTATTTTCAAAAATAATGCTTCGAATAAAAGTAAAATGTATTTTAAATAAAAAAATTTCTCCTTTAACAAGGAAATTAAATGTGAAAGAGTCGACCTAAAGCGAAGACAATGTTATATTAAAAGAATTAAGTAGTTCAAATCTTCCAATATTCGTTCTTATATCATAAATAAAGCAGGATAACGTGTATACTCTAATATACTCGAATCGTCCATTTTCCCATACGCCATTTCTCATCTCAAATAAATGGCGTACAATCCACAAGTTTCGCGCAAGGAACAGGAGTCATTCTCACCAGCTCTATCAACGCGTTTCGTTAGATACATATATCCGTATAATACATATGCTTAACTTATTATTTATCGTATGCTTAATAGTACAAACATCGACTCTTTAACTCCTCGACATCGCTCATTTACTCTATACACATATATACATTGATCATCGACATCTGCGACTCTTTTTCAGCGTCAAACAACGAACAGCAGAGTGTCGTCGGCGCGGCAAAGACTGAAAGATGTTACAAACGGAGTTTAAAGGCAGCTTAAACGCTAAGAGACAGATCAGCATTATTGTTTTCCTCGCTTTTTTTTTCACTATTGTCCCTTTGTTACAGATTGGCATTACACACAGCGACGTGTTGTGCTTGAAACTTGTTGCATCTAACCCTGTTTCTTCTTTTTTTTTTTTTTTTTTTAATTTTCAATCTCACTTCCGCCTCGATTTTTAGAGAGTAACGTGTCGTCGACGCGATCAACGGTTCACACAGTTTCAAGTTGTGAAGTTAAGATTAGATTACACCTTAGGCGACGAGCAGTTATCATTTTTATTACTATTTATCATGTACAGCGTCTGGGTGAAGCGAAGCACGGTGTGCTCTCCTTCTTTTGTTTCGTTTGATGTTAGAATCTCAATCAGAATTCGTCGGAAACGCGTTGATCGTCACTCTCGTGCGCAATACTCTCTCGCATTTAATACTACACGCTTGACAGGAGCTGTTTGACATAAAACCTTTCGTTTTGATCGAGTGAAACGGTAGAAGTTGCGAGCCTAGCACATATACGTATACATATATGTATAAAGTAACATCGTTCCGAGATTGAATTATTTACATAAAAAAAAAAATGACAAAGTACTTTAGAAAGCGTTCGAACGTTGAAAGAAGCATACTGAGTTATAAACTTCAATTTTTTTTTCCTTATCGTGCGAGTAGATGTAATATTCGGAGAAAAGAAGAAATAAAAACGCTGTCACCGATATCTCATCATTACAAATTACATATTTCATTCGTTGTTAAACAATAGTCTGCGAAATGACTAACGAAGATCACAAAATATA